TCATGACCCAACGGAAGGACGCCCGGATCTCGAGGGGACGGAGGGACTTGCCGCAGGAAGGCCCCGGAGCGCCGGTCACGAGGCGGAGAAGGGCTGGAGAGCGGATCCTGGCTCGGGGTCGCCTCGGGCCCTGAGGAGTTTCTTCGGCGGCGGCAGCCACGGCTCCATCCCACGCGGATCGCCTCGCTCGCTCGCTCGCTCTTTCTGGGACTCTCCAGTAGCTCGCCACACTTGGCCGCCGAGGCTTTGCGGTGGCTTCGTTCCTCCTTGCCGGAGTCTTTTGGCTGCCTCTGGCCAGACGTCATCCCCCCGCTTGGGCTTGGCCTCAAGAGTCCTCAGCACCTCCTTTCATCCCGCGGTGGCCGAGAGCGAGCGAGCGAGCGAGCAAGAGAGAGAGCACGAGCGGCGGGCGGGCGGGCAGGAGCAGCAGATGGAGCGAATTAAGGCCGCCGCGACGACCACTCGCGCGCTCAGCTCCGACGGCGCGCTTCCAGCCTGGGACGCGGCCGCAGGGAAGCGGCAGAGAGACCGGAGAGCCTCGGGGAGGCGGCGGCTGGGATCTGGTCTCCTGAGAGCTCGCTGCGCTTCCCGGCGCACCCTCGCCCGGGTCTGCGCCGGACTGGTGCGGCTTCAACCTGCAAACGAGCTGGGGCTGTAAGCGGGCGCGCAGAAGAGAACCTGCTGGAGGGGGGTCAGAGCCGCCCCCCCTCTCCATTGCGGAAAACCTTCCTGCACCTGCCTGCCCAAGTTGTTTTGTGTTACATATTCCGTATGACAAGGTCTGTGGCAGCTCGCAGAGGAGCGCTAGTACCAGGTCTCCTCCAATCACACACGCTGTCTGTCTGTCCGTCTAGGGTACCCCTCGGGACCATTGCTTCAGTTCCTCTGCCCTCCTTGCACTCACCCGCTCTGGGCCTTTGGGCCAACTCAGTTCAGAAACCCAGGCCCGCCACTGAGTGCGTGCCATGCAGGGCTCTAACTCAGGCAGAGCAACTAGGGATTTGCTCCTGGGCACCAAAATGTCAAAGATACCGAAATCTAGAGAGGAATATCTTGGTGAGCGTTAAGAAGATAAATGGCAAATACCTTCTAGCACAATTTGCTTCCCCGTTTTTGAAACCATAAGATATTCTCTTTACTGTATTTGGGGCAGGGAGAGACATTATCACCACCTTCGCCGTTTCTTAGGGATTCATTCACACACGGTCCCTCGGGGCAGAGTGAGTGGGAGGGAGGGAGGGAGTGCCACTTGCCGCAGGTACTGTGCCAGCATTTCTACTTCAGCACTGCTGCCATCTCCAGGACTGACCTGTAGCTGTGCAGGACAGTCACAGGTCTTGGGCCTCGGCTTCCATTCTCATCTCACGTCACATTTCCTGAAATCAATGCTTCCTGAGAAAACCAGTGTACACACTAGGCACTGCCAAAATTCAAGGGTAGAGAAAGGAAAGGATGCCCATACAGACACAAAGCAGCTGTAGGTCAACATACGGACATGGCCCGAAAGCATGCTGGCTGAAGTCCAGTGTCCATAATGGCTGAAGGATTTTGGGAACAGTAGTACAAAAAAAATTACTTTTCCAAGCTCTGCTGAGGCCATGTCAAAGTTCATCCTGTAATGCAACAGCTCTCTCTCTCACACCCTCCATACATACAGCTTCCCTTAATTCTTGCAGCATAAAGGTACAATCGAGAACATTTTGCCCCATGAGCATTTATGTGTCAGCAAGACTGACATCAGACTAATATTCAGTTAATAGCTCATCATTCCTGCCTGTTATTGCCGCAGTTTCCTCACATGCAAACATGTAGAGCACAACATGCCAGTTATGTTGCCCAGTTTGGGCTACAAGTAGACTCACATGTTCAACCTGTGTATATTCACCTTGTGTTGCCACTCTATGTGCTGACTAGTCTCCATCTTTTAATGATGCTCTGATGGAGATGTATGTTACTCTGCTGAATCAACAGGTTGAGGAAAGTTTACCACACAAGAATGAATATCCTTCTTTTAGTTAGAAATCAGGGACCAGCTGGCATAACCCAAGCCTATGAAAGCAGATGGAATTCCTTCCATATGGGGCTGCTTCACATACACCTATTTTTCTAGGTCTTTTTACAGAGCAAGGAATGGAGAACCTCCCCTTCCCAGTTTTGGTCTTCAGCTCCCACAATCCTACTAAACTAGTAGGAGCTTCTGGGAGCGGGGTACAAAACCTATGAGCACACAAATATGTGCAAAGTTAACATGTGAACATACTAATCCTGCATGTATACAGACTATTAATTGTATGTGCATGTAAATGTGACTGGAACATTTACATGGAAGAAGATCCCTCTCCCCATGGTATGTTCAGGCCCCGTGCAGCAGACTTTTTTCTTACTGCACTGAGTGAGTGAGCATTCCAGTATATTGAGGGTTTGCATCGGGCTGGGGTTAGGATTGAATTGATGTGTCTTTTATTTCCTGAATTCACTGAGAGTTCCAACATCCTCCTTGAACAGGGCAAGCTAGTGACAACCAGAGTATGTCCCTTCTGCTTGCTGGCTTCACTGTTCACTTAAAAATGGCACAGAACTTCTCTCTTCCCAATATTTTACACTGGCTAGTATAGAAACATGGAACAGACTTGTCGGATTAACTTTCATAACAGTTGGTTTGTTTGTCTGTTTTTATCTGTGACAAGTGGCTGAAACTTGGGGACACTGTCTACAACTTGCAGATGACAATGCCATAGAATGCTTGTCCTGTCAGCCTAGATCTCTGTGGATTCTGCACACAAAACAAAACAAAAAAACCTCGAGTGGATTAAAATGCCCTGTCCTGGTGCATGAGGCTTAAAACCCTAAAAACCCCACTCATCCTCAATCTTGTTAGCACTTAACAGTTTCTTTATGGCAGCAAAATACTTTTGAAGCTGTACAGGCAAGCTCCTTCATTCTTTGAGGATAAAGCAGAAAGCACATGTGGATCCATGTACACATCAAGCCACATATACCATCTCAACCTTTTCCAGGGGTTTCATTTCCCAGAACCTAGGAGAAGCAGTAGACTTTCTTCAGTCCACTGCAAGGATTCCAACTATGCTCAGAGGGAAAAGGAGAAGGACCAATGATGTCAAAAAGTCACAAAGCCTGCCAATTCTTCAAGTTCTGTGCCCACTGCATCCCTGCCAGGCATGTCCTGTGAGCTGCCTGGATGGGAAGGGAGTGATGGGTTAGTCATGAGCTGCTCTAAACTCTTGAAAGGAGTGCAATTAATTTTATTTATTTATTTATTTATTGGACTTATATACCGCCCCATAGCGCTACAAGCACTCTCCGGGCGGTTTACAATTTTTTAATTATACAGGCTACACATTGCCCCCCAGCAAGCTGGGTAAAATTAAGGATAAAGGAACTCCATGTGCACTGTGTACACAGTGGGTTGAATTCAGACTTGGTAATTACATTAATTAAGGCTAACACAAATCCCATTGATTTTAGTGGGTCTGTTTTATCCACTACAGTACCCAGTGTGCTATAGTGGATAGTGTGACAGAATAGTACTCAGGAGACCTGGATTCGAATCCCTGCTTGGCCACTGAAACTCATAGGGACGGAGTGTGTGGTAGTAGCCAAACCACTCCTTAAACATCTCACTTACCCTCAAGGCCCTATTATGGTCACTATAAGTCAGCTCCAATTTGAGAGCACATAGCACACATAACATTCTAAGTAAGACTCAGGCTCAAATCAGATGCTACAGTCACCACATCACTAGAAGAAAAAAGCATGGTAGTGTTTCAGCTACACCATCCTCTTTCCCAGCCTCAAAAGGGCTTTCCCAGTATACAAAAGGGACCCCCAACCCCTCCCCTCAACACTGCAGGATTATACTGGATACCTTACAGTTGTGGCCAGGTATATATTGAGATCACAAAATTCAGCATCCACACCAGAATCAAACTTTCAACATGAAAGTTTATGCAGACTAAAATACTGTAACTGGAAAAATCAGCAGTAGCTGAACATGCCTTGAAACAAGCTGGACATGAAATCCTATTTCAAAACACAG